AGTAATATCATATGACATAATATCATATGAATCATGTGTAATACAATACTTTTTAGTGTTCTAGTAGTACATAATACATTATTCACATACTTCAAGGTTATTTTACGCCTTGAAGACACCTGCAGTTTTTCGCTGCAGATCATAACCCGTTCTCCCTTTTTGGCGATCAACAGCATTGTCTCATATCGTTCGTATCAGCCATTTTTCGCTAATTGTTGTCGTTTACTCTCTTCGACCATCGGTGGAGAACGGGCTGACGGCGCGCCAAATCTTACCTCTATGACACGCCCCTTCACCCGCAGCGAACGAGACTCTAACAATGAGCAGGGAAACCGATTCGGGAAACAGCGCATAGAAAACCTTGAGAAGACTTGAGAATGTGGCGAGTTTCCCGCCAAAGTAAATCGCAGGCAGTTTGTGAATCCGCTACAATATATTTCACCATAAGGAATTTAACTTACTCAAAAATTCTAGAAACCTCGAACCACATTCGTTCACGTTGGGAATGAGCTTTTAATTCAGGTTGCAAATGAAGATTTCTAATGATCATTCAGGATATGATATGCACACTCCATGTCCTCGCGTTAAAAGGGGAGTGTCACGGAGTGTTCCAGCGAGGACGGTAGATAGTTGTTGTTTCGGGCGAGTATTAGACGATGGGTGCATAAATGAGATCTGAGGGCACAAGGAAACTGATAGGCTTCTCCCAACTCTACATGAATTTTCAACTACTGCAGCTTTCAACTTTCTTAAATCCTCCCCTTCTAATGCCGAGATATGGGTCGTCCATATCGGCAGGCAAAAAAGCATTCTTGCGGTGGCTGCGCAGATATTAATCCGACCCTCTTTTCTTGTGTAGGCGTTTTCGTGCAGGCGCTGGAGCGTGTCAGGGGGCTGGGCTTGGCGCGGGCCAGCTGCAATTGGTGGAGAACGGGCTGACACCGCTCCAAACAGAGCCCCATCCTAACAGGAACCAGACCAAACAATCGAAACTTGCCGCGTCGCCGCACGCGACGTACCATGCGGTAACTTCTCGATGTGCACCAAGTTGTCGATTGGAGCAGCGAAAATCATATGAAATCAAGCGGGGACAAGACTCCATGACGGGCGACATCGAAATTCCTCGTCCCTCTAACAATTAAATTTGAATGGCTAGGTAGGACAACTCGTCTGTCGGGCACGCCCACCAGCGAAACGTACTACGATCGTCTTACCACATGCCCGCTAGACACGTCCCAGCGTCTTCAACGAAACTACTGCACATAGGTTTCTGCGTTCCTTCCGTTTGGACACCCGCCACTGAGCGATACCTCTTATTGTCCACAAACTAATTAATCCTTGTAATTAATCGGTGACATAAATTAATTGTCCTAGTAATTAACTTGTAGCAAGAACCAGTGGGACAAGTAGCGCATATTTTTCATAAAGTTCCTTGTTTAGGTTATGGTAATTTGGTACCAACCACAACATCTGGAAGAGTAGCATGTATAATCTTCGCATTATTTGGAATTCCTCTATTACTGGTAACAATCGCCGATATTGGAAAGTTTTTATCAGAATTTCTCAGCTTTCTTTACAAGTCATATCGAGCATTCAAAACGAAAAGTGAGTCTTTGGCCAACCACAGCCCTGAACAGTGTTCCTCTATAATTTCTACGCTCTAACGTCTCAAAAACGCTTATTCTAGTTCTTGTGTTTTTGTGTGTGGTGATATTTGAAAACCCTCTGTTGTTAGTAAGTAGTAAAGTGATCGTGTGCCTAGGGCTCTACTACACTGGTTGTCTAAAGAACATTAAACGTTTCAGTTGATCGCACGACGAAGAACAAGTATTGCAGCAGCGGTAAGGAGTGACAGATCATAGTGTGCTACCTTTGATTCTCATTTTCACTTTTCCCTTTGAATTTTTATGTACTTTCCAATTTTTGGTGTCCTTGTTAGATGAAGGCAACTGTGATATCGATAACCACTAACTTGTTTTTTCTGTTCCAAATCTCGTTGGTTTTCCGTGCATCGTCTCCTCAAAAGTGTTGCTCACCAAAAAACTGATAAAAAGTCAAAAAGCTAAACCATTCGGTAATTGCGAAAAAAAGCCCATATCACCGCCCACACGTCTTTCAAGACGCTATTAATGTTTAGCAGACTTTTGTTCATGATTGGTATACAAAAAGCTCCTGTTTATGACGCTTCCAGCACTGCTGGCACCAGGAGACACCGTAGGTTCTGGTTTTCCAGCGATGGGGGTCGTATTTGGTCGCTAAAGGGCAGGAAGGGTTGTACTGCGTGTGAAGAGCATTCCATGTTTTTGCCTCCCGTTTTTCTTTTTTTGAGTGCCCTGTATACCCTTTTCCCCCCACCCTCCCTCTTCCCCCCCCTACTCCTTTCCGTCCCAGTCCATCGCTAGAAGGCAGGTTTCTGGGGAAAATGAAGCAAATTTCGGACAAGACTTTGGAAAAGTGGTATTAAGTGGGGAGAATTCAGAGAGATGGTAGGTAGGATGGGGAATGAAGAATGCTGTCATAGCAGTGGAGAGCATGTTGGGGGTTGTATCCTGCAAAAATTTTCCCCAACGGCAGGACGGTACTCTGGTTGGCACCCGTAGCAGAGGAGGATAGTTTGGGTGTCGTATCCTGCTGAGAATGTTCCCCAACGGCAGAACGTACTCTGGCTGGTACCCATCGCGTGATCAAGAGACAGTAAATAGTAGCACTATGTCATACTTCATAGACGACAGCCCTTCTATTCCAACAGGACCCTCCATACGCTCTGGCTTAGTAATTCTATACCAGGACACTGAAAAGGTCAAGCAATGTTTCAGACGTCAGATAAACGTAATCCTTCTGGTTGAGTGCCCCAACCAAAAAGCGTTCTTACGAAGAATGAAAGTTCAAATTGCCGTAGCCGGAATTTTGAAGACATTTTGTAAACTCACATCAGAAGTCAGACGGAGTGTTGCAGCGACAGTGGCGCGCTACCACTCGCGCGGCCTGGGTCGAATCCCGGTCGACACGCCCAGGCTCAACCAAGCCCTCTTCCATCTCTGGGACGGACCAGATTCGTCTGGGAGGATAAAACACCGACTTGTACATCGGCTGGCCACCGCAATTCATTGTATAGGCCAATCGCATTCAATAAGCCACTACGATTCCGAACTGGAGTAGAAATGCGTGCCGCATCCATTGCCACCTGAAGCGCAATTCCTTCTCAGCGCAAGGCGCAAATGGGTCGCAGCGCCCACACTCCCTTTCCTACCCTCAAAATTGCACGGGACAGGGCCGTTAAGGTAGGGGTAACCGACTGCCATTTTCCTCTCTACCTGTCTATCCTCAGTGGCACCCACTCGGTCGGTATCATGGTCCAGCAATGAATATGCACCGAGAGGTAGAGAGGTGAGTAGCAGGTAGCACCCCACCGCAGTTACGGACCCTTTCGCCCGAGATGCAGCGAGCAATAAACCGCCGCGCTAGCAAATCAAACTAGCGCCTTGTTTCCTAGATGGAGGCACGTTGACATGGCGAAGACCCGATATTCAATTGAGCCCAGGTTGAGTCGGAGCAAATAATGAGACTATCAGTACCTGGAAGAAGTGCTGAATCCAGCCCTTGCTGAGTTATGGGCAAAAGTCGAACCCCAGGCGGGAGTCGAACCCGCACCTCACGCTTTCCGGGGAGTGCGCTATCCGTTACGCCACCAGGGCCGCTTCTTACCCTCTCAGCTCAACGGCTTTTATGCCGTAGCCTATCAGCACTCACACGTTTAACGTGATATCGGCAGTGAACCGCTTGGCCGAAGGCTTCACTAGTTTTTGAAGTTGTTTTGTTATGATAACCTTCGCCCTAGCGGAGGGTAGGAGCGGCCCTAGTTTCGTAAAGGATAAGCTTACAGTGCAGTTCTCAGCGGACGGTGGGGCGGTCCTAAGGCCACGCTGGCGAGCGGCCCGATAGTTGCCTGTCGGTGGATGGCCGCAAAAACCTTGCCTCTGCGTCTCTTACTCTGCACTCTGCGCTCTAACACACGCCGCCGCACCGTCTACCCACTCTTCCGCTCTGGGCTCTTACCGATCGATAATTCTCTCGATCAGCTGATTCCTGCCGCATTTTCGCAGTATTTTTGCTAGATTCAGCTTGTTAAAGCTGAAATTTTTCGACTTTTGACTTCAATGTTCGAAGGTGAGTATTCTTACTGAAATTATATCACATTTTGCATGAATTTAGCATTAAATTGGGAAAGAAAAAATTGAAATTGGGAATTTTAGCATGGAAAAGCGAACCATTAAGGCAACTTCGAGCTTCAAAAAAGTGTCAGAGATGGTTCTCGATAATAGCGAGATCATCTGAGACACTGCTTTGAAAACTCGGTCAATATCATAAAATAAATGGGGGATATTAAGGAAAAGTTTGGAGAAATTGCGAAAATCAGAAAGAAAAACAAGTTTCCTAGGGGAATTTCATGCAAAAATGGAATACTTTCAGTAAGGATACTCACCTTCGAACATTGAAGTCAAAAGTCGAAAAATTTCAGCTTTAACAAGCTGAATCTAGCAAAAATACTGCGAAAATGCGGCAGGAATCAGCTGATCGAGAGCAATTATCGATCGGTAAGAGTCCAGAGCGGAAGAGTGGGTAGACGGTGCGGCGGCGTGTGTTAGAGCGCAGAGTGCAGAGTAAGAGACGGAGAGGCAATGATGATAATCTCCTGAAAGTTTTCGGCTTCCATCGACACGCAATCACCGGAACGCTCGCCAGCGTGGTCGTAGGGAACGCCCCACCGTCCGGTGAGCGCTCAACTGTACTCGCCCGGAAAGCGTGAGGTGCGGGTTCGACTCCCGCCTGGGATTCGACTTTTGCCCATAACTCAGCATTCTTGTGTAACTTTCGGAACGCGAAGTGCGGCGTAAAACAACACTTATAATCGCAAGGCGACCCTTGCTTTTTCACCCTCCATTTTGGTAGGTTTTTCTATTCCGTTTCAATGACGGTTTTCCAGTGCGACATCGACCAATCATGGGTAATCAGCACTTCGTTCCGTGATTGACGAAATAGAAGAATTTGAGAACAGTTTTATCGTGAGCACCACTTTTGATCTACTGTCAGTCCCTGTGTGCGTTCGACTTGAACATCAAGCCTTTTTCAAGGGTTCTTTCAATTGCACGTTTAAATGCACCACTAGAGCGATCGTTCCACTTCTCGCATGCCGTTGTTGTGTTTCAAATGCATTGCTAAACAGTAGATCGCTCTTTCCACCAACGAAAGCATCGTTATTGATATCGGAAATGAATGAAGGAAAGTCACATCGCTTTGCATAGCGAAATAACCCGACATGATTACTTTGCACTCTTATACATAACCATTTCACACCTATAACAACAGTTACTCTTACTACATAACAATGTTTGGCAAATGTTTGATGACAGATGCGAAATCTGAACAGAGATGGCATTTTACAGATCCGAAAACAATCGCGGCGTATTTCACTTCATTATCGATCATCTTCACATTCACACACCAGTGAGAACGGATCATCCAAGGTGAGGAGAAATCGAAATTCCACCATTTTTGGAAGTTTCTGTTGTCTAGGTTACTGGTAGCGTTCAGTTCCAATATGTATGAATAATTGCGCTCGTGAGGGCAGACTCACAGGCAACTCCATGAAATTGAGGAGGCGTACAATAGACCCGTAATTTGCCGTGCCGTCTTACGCGGCGTTTCGGGCGGCGGTGCGCGGCGAGTATTCGATGCGAAACTACTGTGTTTGTTCGGGAGCAAGAGTCTATGCCAAAAGATATAGATCTTTCCTGTCCCTTCAAGGCAGGTGACACGATGAATCCCTAAAATGTGCAGGATTAGCCGCCAGGACAGAATTCGGCACCCCTGAGCAGGCGCTGCGTAACGCCTTCCCCAAGAGAGGTAGCCTTATAACGCCCTATCAGGCTGCCTTACACCGACTCGGACGCCCACCGCGCTCGCCCGCCCCACAAATGTCCGGCCGATGCTGGTGCTCGTTTCATTTCCGAAGTACAATATGAAGCGAAGGGGTTCATATGGTGCGGCTGCAGTGCTGCGAGGATATATAAGTACTTTCATGCAGCGGCGGCCAAGGAAAGCACCGCCGCGCTCCGAAGAGCTAGGTCACCGACGGCGCGCAGCGCGACCTGTTCGCCAGTGCGGCGGCCGGTGAGTCAACTGACCTGGCATTTTGCCAACCTCCGATCGATATGACCCTATCGCAGTTTGCTTGGAGCGTTCTTTCTTATCCTCATCTTCCATCTGCCAAGAACCTGTTCCAACATGTTCAAACATGCAAACATGTTGAAGCATGTAATCGCCGCGCGCGGTGACCCACTTCCCAGCGCGGCGACCTAGTTTCGAGCGCGGCGGTGAGTCCTGACACACACCCTGTGCACCGTAGTGATGGATTGGATGCCAACGGGAAACTCGTCCAAAACTTCTATTTGAGCCGTGTAATAACAAAGGGTTGTTTTGCAAGTTTTTAACCGTTTCATTTCGCTTTTTCGCCATTTTCCCAATGCCAAGCATGCTTGCTACCATTCGACTTTCCTTATGCCTTTAACTTTAGTAGTGCGTTTCTACTTTTTTTTCTGCGAAGGAAGTATCCTTCCCAGACTTCCGTGGAATTCATAGAAGGGCTCGGCTCAATCAATCAATTGATCAAATTCCACTACGAAAACCTAGCCCAGTCACCGTATGCTTTAAGAGTCGTGTCAGGAACCTCGAGTGAAATCAGTTCTCGTATCTTCTCGATCTCTTGCATTTCGTTCGTTTTATGTTGCTTCTTAACTCTGTCTGCAATCGTGTTTACGTTTTTACTTTTTTTAAATTAGGTATTTCAATTTCGACATGGAATACCAGTAAGTTTCATTGTGAAGCAATGCACTGCAATATCTTCACGCAAGCAAAATTAAGACTGGTCTCATCATGAAGTCTTCATGTGATTGAAACCGTGAATTTCCACTTTCACGGTTTCACTATGTGAACACAATGATGATTTCAGCCGATTCACTAACCAGTGGTAAAGCCACTTTATCCCGAACTAATTAAAGCACATTACCCTATCTGTCCCTGTGTTCCACAGAATCAATATTTCTGAAGTCTTATAAGTCTCTTTCCCCTACCTTAACCCACTTCCTACTCTATGTTTTCGCCTAGAGCCAAGAAATAACGTCATGGTTTTGGCTCACTTTCTCGGCTATGAGCCAGTATGCCTAACAGACTCGCTGACAACTGCTTCAGAACGATTTTCTATTTTTAAATAAAATTATATTTTCGAGTCATTTTTGATTCTTTCGCGAGAACATGGAGTTTTATCATATTGGGAACCCTCTGAACCTGTCCTCCGTACATAGCTATGGTTTCAGGTGAAAGTGAGCGGTGCCTAAGATCAACCGATTATTTGCTATGACCTATTCTTTTGATTTTCATGGAATAGGCTTCCTTTTATCCACCAGTGAATACGAACAAGGCCTTTTAAAACAGCTTTTGTGAGGCTATTCTGACAGCGCTAGTTAACCTTTCAAATTGTGAGCGCTTTTTAAAGGCATGTGCTACACGAGTCGTGTGGGTGGAGTCACTTGTGCCATTTTCATTGGCGCTCCAGCTCTTGCAATCTGAGAGCCAGGGATTCAAAAAGAGAAGGGGGTAATGGTTCATGTGACTCCCCCATTAATGCACAAATCGCTGGGTCGCTTGCTTTCTCCTGAAATTTTTCTATGTTTCAGGGTAGTAGGTTATTTTTGTAATTTTAGGCCGGCTCACTTAATCTCCATGAAATGGACAGCGATTCGGAATCCTCAATGGAAGACGAGTTGCGAATTCCAGTGTTCATGGTGTTATTTGTGTTGCTGGCCTACACAGCTATTGGAGGTTTTTTGTTTCAAGTACGTTTAACTTGTTATCTGTCTAAAAGTCCCATCTGGACATATTAAGTCTATTAATTTTTTTCAGTCATGGGAAGGACTGCAATATTTCGAGGCATTTTATTTTTGTTTCATTACCATGGCCACAGTAGGTAAGACTTCGAACGCGTGATCTACATATAGCCTTAGAGACATGTGAGCAGTTGAATTTCAGGTTTTGGCGATATCGTTCCTACTGAACAGGTTTATATGTTTTTCACAATGGCATACATAATTTTTGGACTTTCCTTGTGAGTTACCATCAGCGCTCCATCCGAGCCCATACCAGCTACTTATTACTTTTTTAAATAGCGAAGTTTCGGCTGAGTAATGTTTTGAAGAAAGTTGAGTGAAGCTGGAATAGGCTTAGGGAAGACGGCGAGATTCATCTTGTAGTGGTTGTGAAATAGAGTAGGAGGGGAGGTCTCTTCTACTAGGCATTATTTAGTATCGCAAAAATCAGGGAGAGCGTCGTTGTGCGAACCGACTAAGGATCGCACTCGTCCTCTGGTACAGGGGGGGGGAGGGGGAGCCATACATGGCCCAAAGAGAAAATCTTTCCAACCGTGGCTTCTCATTTGTTACGCGCTAAAGTTGTTTTCGCTGCAGGCGCATGGGCGTGTCATGGGACTAGATTCGGCGCGCTGCAACCCGTTGTCCACGTTCTTCAAGGAGACAAGCGGCAACAGTTTCTGGAAAACGGGCTGGCGTTTGGCCAAATCCAGCCTTCCTGACACGCCCGCGCGTCTGGAGCGAAAACGAATATTATCTAACTTGCGACGAAGCAATATTTTTGACAACTGGTGTTAAACGGAGGCGTTTCCCGCGCTCGGAGGACTAAGTTCGAGGACAATAACTGAGACAAGGTGGTGTGTAGGTTACGAGTTGTGAAAGAGTCGTACCGGTGAGGAAATGGTGGTGAAACCACATCTGATGGGTCATGTCGTTCGTTCTACGTGGATCTAGTTCAGCACATTCAAGATGCGGCGGAGAGAACGCTTGAAATGCTTTCACGTGTGCCACACACGGGACCCGATTGATTCAGCGCAGCAATATTGCGCTATGTCAAGTCTAATAGCTGAAAAGCACCACTTCGCTCGCGATGTTGGATATCCTGACCTTTACCTTTACACATTTGGTCCACGCGCGCGAACTACATGCATATTCCTTGCGCTATTTGCAGCAATTCTGCACGTTTGTAAAATATTTTTAGTTCTTTTGAATGGTGGTGCGAATGGCGCGCGCGTGGCCTCGCTTGCGACGTCGCTTTCGCCGATCTCGCGGCAATAATGAACCAGTGGGATACATATGCTCCTGCATGACGGGTGTTTGCTTGACCTTGATTTACTGCCTAATTACCTAATTAACTAAAGTCAAGAGAAGCTGTTTTTGATCTCGGTTAATTAGGCAATTAATCGAGATCAAAGAACCAGCTTCAATTGATTACCAAAAAATGACAATCAAACAGAGATGAGAATTTCAGAGCAACTATGTGTATTGACTTAGCGGGTACTGAATACATTAGAAAAATCCATTACCTTGGCAGCAAAATGGAAGATGCTAAGGGCGCTGTCATTTCGTAAGTTATAACCTTTCTATCAACTTTCTACTCTTCGCAATTTACAACTTTTAGCGGCCTCCAAGTCGGTGAACATATACTGAAACATACCGGTATTGAAGTGATGAAAACAGCGGGTGGTAAATTGGTGCAAGGTACGTCAAGCTTCACAATACTCTCATTTTCCGACTACTCAAACGCTATTACAGTTCGTGGAGCAGTACTCAATTCGAAGCAAGCTCGAGAACTGGGAGTGAATTATATACTAGCTGATCTACAATATCAACAGAAGAACATTCTATACGAGCCGTTAAGTCCAACAGTTGCAAAACTTGTTAAGGAAAGTAATATTAAGGTAAGTAAATGTGTAATGCGGAATAGTTGTAGTTTTTCTGTGAGCTATGGACTGAACAGTTTAAGACTTACGTGAATCAAACCCCTTTGTTCGTCAAGTACAGTCCATGTCACGCCCTCTTTGGGGGGTGTGTCCATGGACTTCATCATGAACGCGCCATGTAGGAACATTTTTTCAGTATGCTTTTATTCCAGATTTTACCAGACGACATCACAGAGAAGGATGGATATATAGTACAAAACAAGAGTTATGACAAACCGGCTCTGGCCAAAAAAGGATATGTTCGTGTCAGTGGGAACATTATTCACAGAATTATGGTTCCAAGAAGAGGTGGACCATCACTTGTTGTTCCATGCCTTATATATAAAGAAACAGATATTTGAATTAATAACACATATTGTATAAAGGTTTATTACTGGCTCTTATTTTACAACGATATTGAAAAAAGTAGAAGGTTTTATAGCCATAAAATTCCAAAAAAATGGAATACACGTTAGGAGCCGCTTGTTCTTGATAGTCACTTCGACAGGTTATTGTTGATGGGTATTCATTACAGCAGTACATTTAATTTGTAGAAACATAACATTCGACAGAAGAAAATGATTTTAAAAAAACGATTCTACTAAAAAGGCTGCAGCCGTGCCGTTTTTCTTGGTTACAGCGCCCATTAGTACCAAATGTAAGGAAAAAATTATAAATGACATGAGCACAACAGCTGAATATCTACAGTGTAGCACCCCAACGAATTGTGGTACTGAGGGCATCCATTTGTAGGCTGTCGAGGCTCTCTGCGTACAGTACTGAATCAGCATGAGAGGGAGTTTCGTCGAAAAGTTTTGTGCTGAAAAAGGAGCCTTTAATTAACTTCCAATAGATAAAGACCTTATAACCTCCTGTTCGCTGCGGATGCTGGGGCGTGCCAGTGGGCTGGGTTTGGCGCGGCGACAGCATGTACACGGCCAATTGTTGTCACTTGCCCTTTTCAGCCGGTGGAGAACTGGCCGTGCCAAACCCGACCTCCATGACAGGCCAGCCTCCGCAGCAGACACGGCTGTATTTACCTGCCAAGTGTAGCGCAGACATTCAGCTCTTCCAGGACCCATGGTTCCAATTGGAAACAATCGATATGTGTGGTAGATTTGGATCGTTGCATGTAACATTTGCATTTACCAACGATCCATAGATCAGCTAGACGAGCAAGAATTTCTATGACGTTGGACATTGCACATCTGGAAGCGGAG